ATTTGTCAAGCGTGACGCTGATGGACCACAAAAGGAAAAGAAACCACCCGCTGACAAAATGCTACCATCATTTCCAAAAATTGGCCGACTTCCTTTTTGCCAGTTCAAGATAGGCACCACGGAACCACCGCGAAGAAAATCATTTATCATTCGTTATGATGTCCTGGTCCGCGCCAGGTTCTGCCACCTGCTGCTACCTTTGCTCGATGACCACCACTAACGGCCGACTGACGACGACGATAACCAAGACGGCGGCATTCAGATCTCTCGACCGAGATAAGCGATTCGCTTTATGAGAATGAGTTCGTCATGAAAGCTAAGGAAATGGATGTACACGCGCACTTATAATGACGTCACTGATTTGTGGTTTAGTATGCTTTATATACATATGCATAGGAAAATGGTAACTGTGAATAAGAACACAGTCGATAGAATCGAAATTTATTATAACTTCTTTTCGGAAAGCTGTAGAGGGAGCTTTTTATAGCATACATGTTTGGTGAAAAGCTTGCATTTTGTGGAAACTAAAGCCTCGACCACCACTCACCACTATAGGCAGTCACTATATTCAACACGGTATGGTCATAGTGGACACTGGAGGAGGAAAAACTACACTTTTTTGACGTAGGGTTACGTCTTTCGGCCACATATTTGGGGTGCAATTTCAAAAAAACCAAAATCGACCGCGTTACGAAAAGTGGTCAGGATTTGATCACTTGAAACTCTGTCAATAGCAGATGGATATTAATTCTAAACAAGCCAATCGATTGGAATGTCATCTACGAATCTGCTAAAATGAACACATTATCAATTTTTAAAAGGTCACTATTGAAAATTGCACGAATGTGCAACTGTTGCTATAATAATGCAAATTATCACCGATTGACTGTAAAAAGCGCTTTCCCTAACACAGATTTAAAAATCGAATTCACTCCGGTCTCAGCAGTGCTTTCGGCGTGTAGCGTTGTAGATTGTTCTCCAGTTCACGACGAACGGCAAACGCGAGCTGCAGCTCACTGAGCGGTTCATTCGCCGAAGAAGGAGGAAGAAGTTGCGCCGCTACTGATGGGATTTCAGTTGCTCGTCGTGAGCCGCTGTGTGCCATCTATTCTAAACGCGTCACCGTTCCTAACAACAAACAGCTCGCCAGTAAAACATCTTAATAGCTCAGCATTACTCAACCATCACGACAAAACGGTCCATTTCAGGACCACCATAATTTTGTTGAAGAGTAGTTTTTGAACACTCGCCTTAACCTTTCAAGTAGACCAATCGACATTGATCTTCATCAACTCTCTCTTTCGTTAATAACTCGGCTCCAAAAACATGTTCAGCTATAATAGTTTCTGTTAATAGACTATGTAGAAAAATGAGCCCGAAATATGAATGCAGCCAAGTTATCAACGAAAGAGACAGTCGATGAAGAGGATTGATCAATGTAGATTGGTCTATTTGGAAAGTGACGCGAGACTTGTCAAGGTCATCCATCGGATTTCAGTTCCCATAAGCATAAATTTAACATACCATGTATTTTTAAGACAACATTGGGGGTGCATTGCAATTTCAAACACTAAAGTCGGTCGCGAAAGTGGTCTGATTTCTTTTAATTCTTAATACGCCAATCGATAAGAAATTTGTCTACGAATCTGTTAAAATTAAGATTGAAATGTCTATTGAAAACTACACGAATGTGCAAATGTTGCTATGATAGTTAAAATTATCACCGATTACCTGCGAAAAGAGCTTTCCCTAACACAGATTTCAAAATTGAATTCCATCCGGTCACCGCGTTTGGTGAGTGTAGGTGTTCTCCAGTACACAACGAAACTCTCCCCGCAAGCAGCTAGCTAGCTTTGATAATGTACCCTGCAACAAAACGTTTGTGGTCAAATGCGTCAAGTATTGAAGTGGTACATACAAATTCTCGCAATGACCGAATACCACATGACCATGTCAATTAACCAGAAACACTTCAAATTAAGGTGACAGTTAATGCTTTTCCGTTGATACTGAATCCACACCCGTGCAAACCACACCAATGCACCAATACCAACAAGCATTTGCAAATTAGGAAAATGAGAAGTCCGGAGAACTTTGAGATTTGGGCGTAATTGCTTTTGTAAATAAACACGTCAATCACCGATTGCTCACGAATAAAAGCTCAATCTTGCAAACAAACTATACCAAATGATAGAGGAGTCATTCCTCTACCTGTTTGTGTTGTTAGATTTCGAGATTGAGCTTTAATTTGAGAGAAATCGGTGATTGACATGTTTGTCTACAAAAGCAATTACGCCCTAATCTTGAAGTTCTCCGGAAGTATCGAAATTTTGACCGAAATTTTGAAATGACAACTTCAATTCAAGGATTCAAATTCAGGGAAGTACTTCTAATGCTCAGGGAAGTCTTGCCGTAGTTCAGGGAAGGCCTGCCGAACTTCAGCGAAAGTTCCGAAAGTTCTTCCGAAGTTCAGGAAAGTCCTTCTGAAGTTCAGAGAAGTCTTGCCGAAGCTCAGGGAAGTTCTACCGAAGTTCAGGGAAGGGCTGCTGAAGTTTAGGAAAGTCCTTTCATTTCAATTCTTGGAAATCGGGGAAGCCCTGATGAAGTTCAGGGAGCTCATGCAGAAGTTCAGAGAAGGCCAGCCAAACCTCAAGAAAGTCCTGCCGTAGTTCAGGGAAGACCTTTCATAGCTCTGGGAATTGGGAAGTTCTACGGAAATTTAGAAAAGTTCTGTCGAAGTTCAGGGAAGTTCTGTCGAAGTTCAGGGAAGTTCTACCGAAGTTCAGGGAAGTTTTGCCAAACTTCAGAGAAGTCCTACCAATGTTCAGGGAAATCCTGCCGAAGTGATTTATTAGATATTTTGACTGGTACAATTGGAGATTTCTTTTATATGGCTTTCTCAGTCTAGGGTAATCCAAACAGGGAAATGCAAAACTGACTCAAAAGAGAACTCCTGCCGATGTTCAGGGAAGTCTTGCCAAAGTTCAGGGAACTCCTGCTGAAGTTCATAGAAGGCCAGCCGAAGTTCAGAGACGTTCTGCCGAAGCTCAGGGAAGTTCTACCGAAGTTCAGGGAAGGGCTGCTGAAGTTTAGGAAAGTCCTTTCATTTCAATTCTTGGAAATCGGGAAAGTCCTGATGAAGTTCAGGGAGCTCATGCATAAGTTCAGAGAAGGCCAGCCAAACCTCAAGAAAGTCCTGCCGTAGTTCAGGGAAGGCCTGTCATAGCTCTGGGAACTGGGAAGTTCTGCGGAAATTTAGAAAAGTTCTGTCGAAGTTCATGGAAGTTCTGCCGAAGTTCAGGGAAGTTCTGCCGAAGTTCAGGGAAGTTCTACCAATGTTCAGGGAAATCCTGCCGAAGTGATTTATTAGATATTTTGACTGGTACGTATGGAGATTTCTTTTATATGGCTTTCTCAGTCTAGGGTAATCCAAACAGGGAAATGCAAAACTGACTCAAAAGAGAACTCCTGCCAAAGTTCAGAGAAGTTCTACCGAAGTTCAGGGAAGTTTTTCCAAACTTCAGGGAACTCCTGCTGAAGTTCAGCGAAGTCCTGCCGAAGTTCAGAGAAGTTATGCCGAAGCTCAGGGAAGTTCTGCTGAAGTTCAGGGAAGGGCTGCTGAAGTTCAGGGAAGTCCTTTCATTTCAATTCTTGGAAATCAGGAAAGTCCTGATGAACTTCAGGGAACTCAAGTTCAGGGAAGGCCAGCTGAACCTCAGTAAAGTCCTGCCGTAGCTCAGGGAAGGTTTGTCAAAGTTCAGAGAACTCCTGCTGAAGTTCAGCGAAGTCCTGCTGAAGTTCAGAGAAGTTCTGCCGAAGTTCAGGAAATTCTGCCGAAGTTCATGGAATTATTTAATTATCTTTCAAAATACCTAGATATATCAGAATACCTTCACCAAAAAGGCTTTAAAAATACCAAGATGTATTCACCAAAAAGGCTGACATTTTAACAGAATATCATGAATACTTGTGAAAATCGAAGTTCATTTTTTTCCTTGATTTGTTTTCCGTCGATCTTGTTTTCCGTGCTGAGCACAAATGCTTCCGACGCCAGGTTAGATTTTCTCTAGGACTCTAAAGCAAAAAAAAACTCTAAGTTATATGGTTGATCGCGAATATCTCGCGATTGGAAATATTTATCAAAGAAATTCCTCCAATCATTTTTCGTTTTTTTTTTTATTATCTATTGAATAAGCCAAAAGTTCCGTGCGTTTTGTTCACGAAAATGCATAATTTTGTCATCAGAAAACAAGGCGTTTCCGTGATGGGAAAATTGTGGTTTCCTTAACACAGTCGCCGAATATTGATACCGAGCACTGAGCAAGCCAGATGGTACCTATCATTAAATATGCCTTGTTTATTAATTTATTTGATAAGGCTCAACCGAATTAACTTTAGAGAGCCGAGGATTCGTGTTCACTATACAATACATCTAAAAACTATAGTCAAAAGGTACAACACAATAAACATTTTATCTTCCGCTATCCAATAAGCCTCCTCCACCAGAACGGGAGACGCTTCCAGGTGTTTCATTTAATGGCAGATTCGCCAGCAAGGGTCAGAGCGCTTCCATTGCAGCAATGGACGCAAAACGTGGTCATCACTCACACACTCACACGAAACAGTTACTTTCCAAAGTCGACGACGCATCGACTGAAAGAACTGCTGATGAAGAACAATTAGGAGGACCACACAATGGTTGCTGCCGAGTAAACAGACAATCGCGTGACACACATTGAGAGTGGTCTGCTTCTGTCGACAGCCGAGTGAACACTCGTGATTGATGTGTTTTCCTAATACGTATTTCATTTCCACACCGCTATCATCTCCAAGAACATCGAGGAAAAAATTCCACAGCATTGTTCTAAACTGGCTTCCAAGCTTCCAACCCATCGCAAACGACTGATAATCCACGAACCCCTCATTTTATCTGTCAAACTTTCATAGCGAATCAAAACAAACATTTCGTAGTACTAGAATTTCAACTAGAATGGGGTACGTTAATCGTTTGCTTGGGACCAATAGGCTAGTCAAGTAGTGAGCCAATTTAAAATCGTTAGTTTCGTATTGATGATAGTCTAAATACCGCTCCCTGTTAATACTTCCTGAACATCTGTAAAGAAACAGTTTAAAATTTGAAATTGTGAACACTTTTTCCCACCTGTAAATTTTAAAAGTAGCGTTGAAGACATCTGACATGTGAAATTTCATCGAACTTGTTGAATTTTATTTACTATCACGGTTCATCATTTGGATATAACAAAGCTTATTCTAAAAACCTTTGTCAAAAGTATGTCATCATTTTTTTTAAATTACGGGATTAAGAAATATGAGCATGACTGTACATTGAAACGTATCACTTATGTTTCTAGTACTATCTTTTAGGAAATTAAAAACATACACGGTAAGAAAAGAGTACCCAACAACCAGATCACTTTTACCTACTTTTGGCTAGTTTGTCTCCTTTTCTCCTTCCAATGTTGTCAAAAACAGAGGAGCAAAACCACCCAACAGGGGGTAGTAAAGTGTGGAAACCCAACGTTGAGTATAATCATATTTACCTAATTTTGGGTAGAAAGCGAGTGGAAAATTCTATACGAATTGCACAGACAAGTAAATGAAATCTACTTTGACCCGGTTTACCTACTTTTGGGTTCCTGCATTATAGCACCGACAAACCGACGTGAAATTTAAACTTAACTCTTGATTGAGAATCCATAACGGCCGATTCAAATGTTTTATTTAGATAAAAATAATTTGTCCGAAATACATTACACACGAACCAACTCATAAAATTTGTACGCGTGTTCGTGGCTAGGATAAATGTTTTCAGCGAACACGGCTGCAGATGTCAGTTTTGTGCTTTGATCAGAAATTTCTTTGTAACTTGTATGATCATTCATGTCGGTTTGTCGGTGATTATAGCAACAATCAATACGAAACTATCGATTTGAAATTGGCTCACTACTTGACTAGCCTATTGGTCCCAAGCAATTAGAAATCTAGACGAAATTCTAGTACTAAACTATGTTTGTTTTGATTCGCTTTGAAAGTTTGACAGATAAAATGAGGGGTTCGTGGATTTTTCCATGTTTCGAGGGGTGCATCGATTAGCTTGGGACCGAAGATAGTACCAGAGCTGAGCCAAAAAGTTGAGCTCGTTTCTTCGGGACCTTCTGGTCTTTGAGTTACCTCTATGATTATAGTGCCGAGATGAGTGAAAAGAACTTACTTTAGGATACTTCTTTCTTACCGTGACGCCCTATGTCAAAACATCCGCTACATACTAAAAAAATGTTGTTTGCCAATCACCATTAATGCAACGGCAACGTCACAGTTACACACCAAACGATAGAATATTCTAACGTATAAGCAGAAACTATAATCTACAATAACCTGATCCCGCTAAGAAACCCGTAATGCTCGTCACTAGCAGTAGGAATACACTGAAGGTAGTTGACGATCCAGAGGCAACTTCATCTAAAAATCAAAATATCATGTAACACATCATACGTATCGTCAAGCGAGAATTAATATACCAATAAAAGTAACTTGCTCGCAGCTGTCAGCATTCTCAATGGCAAAGTAGCCAACCTTGCAGTGGCAGGTCGAATTCCTGCATTCTATGCTCTTATCTACGATCCCATGATTGATGCAATCCTGACCATCCGTGCAAGCTATTTGTAGATCTGCGTTGATGATAATGGCACCAAACGTTTGAATTAATTGTAGAAGTCCAAATCCTATTATCGAAAACGTAATTTACCCTTCTGCATCAGCATGCAGCGTCCTAATCTGGGTGGTTCCATGTCTTCGCACAGACACTCCGAACGGCCTACGCCGGTCTGGATGCAGCTCGTGTCCGGCAACGTCGAACAGTCAGCCTCCGTTGCACATGGTTCACCTGATGTGGTTAGAGATTAATTTTAGATAAACATTTCAAAAGGTCCTATCTGCATTGATCGATTGCAAAATCTTTGTGTTTGACGTTTTGAACACTAGATAAGAACCTCCCAACAAACAATTTTAGCTGCAGATTAGCTTATACAGCCAAAATTTGCCTTATGCAGCTATTTTTTGCCTGTATAAGCTAAGCTGCAGCTAAAATTGTTTGTTGGGCTCCTGAATCAAACTATGTGGTAAAATAGCAGTGGTTATAAAAAAGAAAGTAGATAAAGAGAATCGATCAAAGCAGATAGGTCTACAGTTTGAGTTCAATTTTTGGATAGCTGGATTAGAAGACACATCCGGAGAACTTCGAGATTAGGGCGTAATTGCTTTTGTAAACAAACACTTGATTTGACGATTTCTCGCGAATTAAAAGCTCAATCTAAAAAAAAACTAACAACACAAACAGGTAGATGAACGGTTCCTCTATCATTTGGTATAGTTTGATTACGAGATTGTTCTTTTATTCCCGAGAAAGCAGCGATTGAAATGTTTGTTTACAAAAGCAATTACGCCCAAATCTCAAAGTTCTCCGGACATTTGTATTCGACGGTCATCACGGTTCAGGCATTGCTTTTCATCAACAGGGAAGCGGAACTATGGCAACCGCATCAATAATACCTACACGGTCAGTCAGATTCACTCAGTGTGTTAGTTACTGCTACTCAATTGTCAATAATAAAGAAAAATGCCACAACTTAGTTACTTTTCTTTATAATAGGGAGTAACTCTGAATCACCGCGTGAGTAAACGAAATGTAAACAAAATTGAATATAGTAAACTCATGATTTGAACTCATTTCTCGCAGTTCAGCTTGAACCAGCCACAATTTTTCTTCACTTACACTTAAATAGGTTTACTCACAAACTAAGTGACTCCGATTTTTGCAATTGCATTTTTCCAATACAACTCCACTAAATGTTGAGTCGATCTGACTGGCCGTGTTCAATATTGCTGTATAATGCACTCAGTGTTTACACATGAGAGCTCTATTCATGTGTTGCTGATAAAATCACATTTAGATCTGCAATTTCGTATGTAACTACTGAATTAACCTGATCCGCATTATCACATAGATGATGAAATTGTTCTCTCTAAACCAACCTGAGTTTTGTTCCAGTTGTAGATTCGATGCAGGTTTGCTTTTTTTGCCAAACGTTACCAACAGTGACGAGCTAGTGTCAAACAATACCACGACCACAGATGCAATCAACGCACTTCTCATTGACCCACAAACCATTTCCGCCACCAATTTAATGATCAGGGAGTATGTCAAATACACAACCAATTGTTTTCACTTTCCAACCAGAAGTGAGGGTAGACTTCCAAGGATTACTTTCGAAAGATTAAGCTTCGTGCCTTGAAGTCAGCTGATGATGATAAGTCGACACGTGCGTCGCAGAAATCGAGATTTAAAATGAAAAAAGGACTTTCAATCAGAAAAGAAACTAGCCGACTGAGCATCGATCTAATCTTATTTAATTATTGCTTTTATTTGTAAAATGTCCCTACAATATCATTTGCTGTCTTACCCATTGACTTCCTATACATAATATCATAACGATTCATACCTCATTATAATCATTAGAATATAACAACTTCGATGTTTTTCTCAGTTCAACTACAATTGATTTCCTTTTATATTATCTACGCGCTTTCAAACGATAACAATTTTTTTAGGTTAAGTTGTTCGCTGAAGCCCTAAGATATGTCGTTTCCAATTTAGACACCGCTAATTACCTCCCTGCATGCTAGGGGGGGATAAGAAGTGATCTTTGTTCAACTGTCTTTAATGCTACTATTTTCTCGATTGCTATCGATTCGCTCTCACCGTTAGTCTCGTCATGCGGAGTTGTTTGTTGTCATTTCAATCTGTACCGCGGCCTTATCACCAATACGTTTGTTGATGTTCCTGTAACTGTTTGGTGATGCTGCTTTCGATTCAATTTGGAGCTACGGAAACGTTGATAATGGGAACAACTACACGTAGTAGGCATCCCGCAGCGCAGATCCCGTAATCAGAATCGCTGCACTGGTCAGCAGTAGGGTGATCACCTTCAGTGCACTCGGTCGATCGGAAGAGCCTGTGGATGGAATGACATCATTTTAAATTAAACAGATAGCTTCAATTGACTTGACAATGACTACTTTTGCCACTGGGTTTGACGCAACGTTGACGTTCCACATCCGGGGAATAGTCGAACTTGCACTGGCACGCCGAGTTGCGGCATTCCACGGTATCGGCACGGTCCTCGACGAAGCACTCGCTCGTTAGGTTACACCGTTCTTCCAAAGCTTTGAAAAAAAGATAGAATAAAAATTAATTGTCGGACTAATCTAAACATATAAAAATGATTTTCATATGAAAGCAATGCAGCTGCCGCTTTTTTTAGGAAAACAAATCGGCTTCCGAGCGCCAATTCTAGGCCACAATTTGTGACATGCTTCCCTTAGAGCATGTCTAGTATAAGATAGGAGCGGATTCAACACAAACTCCCTTGACAACCTATGCCTTAGTGGTTTCTAGCAACACTGCCAATGCAATAAAGATAGGCGCTGCTCGATTGGCTCTGGCTTTGACAGTTCGTTTGGCTCAAAACCAGCCAGTCCGCTCCTCTCTTATACCATAGAGGTAACTCTAAGACCAGAAGGTCCCGAAGAAACGAGCTCAACTTTCTGGCTCAGCTCTGGTACTATCTTCGGTCCCAAGCTAATCGATTCACCCCTCGAAACATAGGAAAATCCACGAACCCCTCATTTTATCTGTCAAATTTTCATAACGAATCAAAACAAACATAGTGTAGTACTGGAATTTATACTAGAATGGGATACATTAGTCGATTTTCTTGGGACCAATAGGCTAGTCAAGTAGTGAGCCAATTTAAAATTGTTAGTTTCGTATTGATTGTTGCTTATACTAGACCCTCTCTAGTTTCCCCCATATTCAAATTTAATTTCGTTGGAAGAACCCTGACATTCAGATCATTCCTCGCGAATGCTGGGTGTTTAATTAAAATATCAATATTTACTTTGACATCAACATTGACTTTTCACCGAATCCTGCAGAATTGTCAAGTATATTCCACTATTCTTCTTCGGAAAACTTACAGAATTCTCAATATTTTTCATTACTTCATTTTCATCGTAATTTACAACATGCCACTAGGGTATTCTACGCGGAACATCCTGGAAATTATTTCAGTTAAATTTACCAAAAACTAAGGTATCTAGAGACCCTATAAATTGGTTCGGATTCCCAGGAAACAATTCCCCGTAAGTTTATTGAGTGTTGAACTATCAATAAATTAAAATTCCCGTAATCGACTCTTTTTCCTATTACTTTCATCCAAAATTTCCCTGAGAAATAATTTTCTGCTCTTGAGATTCTCTGATTCTAGAAAATTCTTGGAATTTATTCTATATTTCACTTTAAGCTGTTAATAATTATCGCGAGAATTTGCTTTAATCTGCCTCCATAACTGCTTCACCGAAAAATAACCCTGGATTTTTCCTCGGCATTTTCTCCAAAAATTTTCATTAAATACTACAACCTATTGAATGCCGATTGCTGATTCTGAATGGCAATTACAAATAGCATCTTCAAAAGGATATTAAGAGTTCTAAAACCTTGAAATAGTTAAACGTATACTGTAACGATGTGTAAAAAAACCCGAAAATTCATTGTTCGAAACCTCATAAGAGGAACTACATCTAACATGATACCAGTCCTTTAATGGATATGTTTTGGTTTGTTTTACTTTGTTAAGTTTTAAAGAAGTGCATGACACACTTAACAGAAAACCTGTCTCTTATTAAATCATATCTTTTTACGGATTTGGAAGGAAAATTTTGTTTACAACTTATTTTCGATACAGTCCTTATTCCCAAGGGGTGGTCACTCTACACACTTATTTTGTGCCCCAGCTGCGCCGGCAGTGCTGAGAATGCCATTCATCGAGCTGACTTTGTTCCATTATGAATGAAGGCATGGTTGGCAGCTCGGTATTTTGACAGTTCGATTGTTTTGTTTTGAAGGGACAGCACCACAAGTGCACGTCTTGCATATACCAGGCTAGCTAAGAGGAAGAGGTGACAATTGGCTTCTTCCTCTTTTATTTCTATCTCTATCTCTATCTTTATCTATCTCTATCTCTATCTTACGTACATGAAATCGGCCAATCAGGAGCTGGTTCACGTTTGACAGAAAAGTGGTTCATTTTCGCCCCCTCTACTCTTAGCAGGCTAGCTACTTCGCTCCTGTATTAGTTTCTGTGATGTCATCAGAATCGGTTAAATAGTTTTCATTGTCAATATATGTACATCAATTTTCAAACTTTTGCAATGAAAATTATACATCTGTGGTCTAAAAATTGGATACTGTTCACGATAACCACATTAAATGCAATGGAAAATGCAACAATAATTAAATCTCTGATTTAAAAAGCATACGCATTGCTCATGAATTAGGCATCCGTGACACCCCCGGTCCCACCTCGTAGGATTTCATCGGGAGCCTTCAGGGATCCAGGGATCAAATGCAATTCTTTGTAGCTGCTTGAGTTCCGGGTTTTCCACCACGTGCCAAAACCCGGATGAATTCAAATCCCGTCTGGCACGTCGAAAATCCGAGAGCTGCGAAAAAATATTCCCTTCTGCACTATTTACTTCAACGATTCTGATGACGTAACATCGGCCTACTTCGGTTGATGTTTACTCTCTAATGAGCTAGCCTTATGTATGTAAGCCGTGCAGAAGTGGAATCCGAACCAAGACGATGACCTAAAGGGCAGAGTTACGACCTATCACAATCACGATCGTCAAACAGCTGATCGTTGTAACGCTTGGTACATTCCTATCACTCTCCATGACCATCCATCAAGTTGACGAAAGAAGTAAAAAGCAACTGGTGAATGTCGTCTTCGGTGGTGATCCATCATCGGTCTGGTCATTCCCGACAATCACGACACTCATGTTTGCTCGTTTTGAAGTAGTTGCTGCTTTGCTTGCTTAAGGGCAAGCTCACCGGGCCAAAAATAAAAAAAATAATTTCGGTACGTTTTTATTTTTCTAAAAATATTGGGAAAAATTAATCAAAAATCCAAGAAAATCAGTTTCTTCCTTAGATTTTTGTCAAAAATTACATGCAAAAATTTTTTTTCTATCCCACCATGAAAAAAAATTGGACTCTCAGAAAAACCGAAAAGTTGATGTTTTGTGGTTTTTTGAGTCCAACTTTATGCCATAATGACTAATAAAACATGTTTTTGCACGTGAATTTTCTTTAAAAAATTAGAAAAAATGTAATTTTTTTAGATTTTTGATACTTTTTTTTCAATATTTTTAGAAAAATCAAAACGTAATTATTTTTTTCGAAGCGGTGAACTTCCCCTTAAATGACTGTGTTGGTGAGTGAGCCAAACAGCTTCCGTTTAATTTTGCCAGCTTTTTTTGTAACTCACACAGTCACGCGTGCTGAGATGAACTTGGAATGCGTAGGCATTGTTTTCATTTTCTTCTGTCGTTTCGCTCTTTTTCATCATCGTACTGCAGAAGTCTTCACTGTTTTCGTTGTGCTTTTCATCATCAGCAGCAAGTGTGACGTTTTGCCTGTGAGCAGCGACCATTACTGGAGATTGTGCTTTGTCATGGCTTTACCTCTCACTGCGTGACAAAACGTTCTGTCAGCGATAGTCGGTTGATGCGTTGACGAGTGTCTAGTGACTGTCATGATATTTTGCTTCACTGCCTAGAGGCACCCCAGCTGAACAATTTGTTACCAGACAAAATGACCCGACTAGAGGATCCCTTCGAGAAAGCGATTGAGCTCCTCTGACTACTGCGAAGACAACATTGAAACGCATTTGATTGAATATTAAATCTACAGCCGCCGGGGAAAACTGCTGAAAACCAATACTGGAGGTACGATGACCGTTGTTGCAGTTTTTATGCTGATTATGCTTTGATGGCCGGTGTAGCAGCAGCAATAGTAGCCGTCGTGGAGGGGAATGATCAGTCGGGCAGAAAATAACACCTGTTTTGGGGAATTAAGAGATTGTGGTTATTCGAATCCGAAAATTGAACTATGTCAACAGCAATTATTTAACACATGCACTGCGCATCAGGCACAGAAATAGAAAAGTGTTTCCAGATCATGAAAATTTCTAACCATGGGTGCCAAATAGTGCCAATGAGTGTGCCCAACTGTGTTTTGGCACATTGTCCGGAGTGACCACCCCCTGGATATACTCTAAGATTCCCTGAGTTTCCAGGTTTTTCCAGGTAGTCGACACTCTGGTCTATGAGATAGGAAATAACCAGGTAGGCTGATTTCATATAACGACCGCTTTGCTTGACAACTTACAAAAGCTCATTTGGATTCAAGCTGCAGAGCGAATAAGACAAAATTTAATAATCGACTCCGACTGCGTCGCGGAAGAACCTCCTGCATTCATTTTGATCGATTTTCACATTTTGGTGATTCTGCCAGGAGGTTATTTCCGCGAATCCTGAAATTGGATTAGAACCCTGACGGATGGAAAATCACCCACGAGCATGAAAAATAAAGAACGTGTCTGTGCCGTTTTCAAGCGAATGATGATGGATCTGAAATATCATCTCTTCGCCGTAGCAGGCCCACAGGAACAAAACGATTTCAGGATGGTCATTTTCAACCGAATGACGACGGATCTGAAATATCATGGACCAGGCGTTGAAACGGTTGACATTTTTCAGTACACTCACTTCATTGTCAAGTGCGACAGTCTGCTTGTATTCGTACTCTCATACTCTACCGTCGTCTTTCTCACACAACACACAAACGGTAGATCAGCATTCGAGCAAAAAGAAAATTATCAAATAACTATCATATGACAATGTAATATTTTGTGTAAATTAAACCATTTCTGACCAAAAATGTAATTACCAGAACATCACTGCTTGCTATTTTCATAATTCACACTAGCACAACATTAGCAGTTATTATTATGAGACAAACTAAAATATGTAAATACGTGAGGGTTTTCGGCGACAGTGTCGTATGACAGAGCATGTCATGACATTTTAGTTTGGTCCTGTACATTATTAGCTTTGTTTGTAACTCACACAGTCGAACTTGATATGCGTAGGCGTTGTTTTCATTTTCTTCTGTACTTCAAAAGTCTTCACTGTTGTCGTAGTGCTTTTGTCTGTGAGCAGCGAGTTTTACGTTTTGTCTGTGAGCAGCGACCGTTACTGGTGATTGTTGTTTGCCATGGCTCTACCTCTCACTATGTGACAAAACGTTCTGTCAGCGATAGTTGGTGATCCGTTGAGACGAGTGTCGCGTGAGTGTCATGATATTTTGCATCACTGGAGGAAGAACCTTTCGAGCGAAGTCAGAAGAAGCTTTCAAAGGAAGTCGAAATAACTTTCCGGGTGGAATCGGAAAATCATTTACGGGAAGAGGTGCGAGAAAATTGCAGAGGAAAGTTTTAAGAAATTTGCAAGGGAAGATGAAATGAACTTCAGTAATTTAGAAATGAACATTCTGAAGGATCTATTTAGTAGCTGGATAAAAGTATTTATCAGTATTTTCCAATTCCCAGGACTTACCAGGGTGAACCATCCGCTGTTTCTCGATTCCTGGGTAGCCAGAAACGACGAGGAAAGGGAAACACTAGTCGAAAGAGTATCAAGATTAAGAAATTGTTAAATATTGCATTGTGTTTTTTTAAGACTATACAAATTTAAAATACAGTGCCTTAACGTTTTTGACAACACATAATTTTTGTCTTTTTTGTACTTTCTAGAAAATCCATCCAACGCTTAATTCCTTGTCTGATAACACTAGACCCCTCATTAATGATCCTATCTACTTGGAATTCTATGGAAAATTCCTCAAAAAGCGCTAGCACAAATTTGAAGAAAGAATTAGTTGATGACGTCGTGTTGCCAAAAACAGAACCAGAGAAACAGCGGATGGTTCACCCTGGTAAGTCCTGGGAATAGGGAAATACTGATAAATACTTTTATCCAGCTACTAAATAGATCCTTCAGAATGCTCATTTCTAAATTCCTGAAGTTCATTTCATCTTCCCTTGGAAGGTTCTTAAAACTTTCCCCTGAAATTTTCTCGTACCTTTCCCCGTAAATTATTTTCCGATTCCACCCGGAAAGTTGTTTCGACTTCGTTCAGAAGCTTCTTCTGACTTCGTTCGAAGGTTCTTCCGTCCAGTGATGCAAAATATCATGGCACTCACGTGACACTCGTATCAACGCATCACCAACTATCGCTGACAGAACGTTTTGTCACATAGTGAGCGGTAGAGCCATGGCAAACAACAATCACCAGTAACGGTCGCTGCTCACAGACAAAACGTAAAACTCGCTGCTGATGACGGAAAGCACTACGACCATGGTGGGTATATAAATGGTGATACAGCTTTGTCACTATATAGGCGAGGAGGTCGCAGGGGGGGGGGGAGGAATGCGGTTTAAGAGCAAATTGTAAGCAAACTCGGTCGCTGTCCCATACAAAAATCCAACATGGCTGAATCACGAATTTGACACATTAGAACACCTATATGTAGCCATGTTGACTACGACAACAGCGAAGACTTCTGAAGTACAGAAGAAAATGAAAACAATACCTCACAGAAAAACAAAACTACCCACCGCTTGGGGTTTTTGAACTCAAATTTGAGTTATTTGACCTCTGCCCATTTCATTTTCTCTCGCTATTGTTGTCAAAAATAGAACAAAAGATTCGACTCAACCGTCTAGTTCCGTACGAGAAGCCAAAATTGAGTAATATGCGATATACCCAAATTTGAGTTAATTGAACTTATTTTGGGTAGAAAAAATTGAAAATAACTTAGCGATGGGTAATTTTTTTTTGCCGTCCTTAAATGCAAACTACTTTGAGCCGGTTTACCCAAATTTGGCTTATCGTACGGAACATGGGAGATGAGTGAAAAGAACTTAATTTTGAGTTGTTTTGAATTTCTGTGTACGCATATCAGGCACCAACAAATTCTCATAAGCAAGCGAAGCAGCAACTGCTTCAAAACGAGCTCAGATGAGTGCCGTGATTGTCGCGCATGACCAGATCGGTGATGGATCATCGCCGAAGACGACATTCACCAGTTACTTTTCACTTCTTCTGTCAACTTGATGGATGGTCATGGAGAGAGCTTCGGCAAGCACATTGATTGGAATGTACCAAGCGTTACTACCACCAGCTGTTTGACGATCGTGATTGTGATAGGTTGCAACTCTGCTTCCGTCTACTCCTTCCAGTTGTATCCTAAGAGGAAGAGGAGGCAATAGGGGGACTTTTATGAACCTATTTTCTGTCAAACGCGAACCAACGCGAGATCAACAGGGAATCTATTTTCTTGTATTTTGACAGTCGACAGCGTCGAACATAATGAAATTGTTTTTGCACGGTCATTTCCGCGAGAGAAGAAGAACACGTCACAGACAAAAAGAAGCCAGTTGTCTTCTCTTCCTGTTAGGTTGTATCCACCTTCTCCCTATAAGCAGAATAGAGCACAAAAATCATGGCTACTATGTCACACTGGAGAATACAATGTTGCCAACTAAACAGCTACTTGATCATGCCAAAAGATTATCAGTCTTGTAAACAATTAATATTTTTTTTTAGTTGACGTATGGCATAAAATCGATCACCTGGAAAGTTGTAACTGAAAGCCAAAAGAGTAGTTCTAGAACATTTTAACAGAACAATACGGAAAAAGTCAAGAAGTGAATGAACAAAAAGTTTGGTTTTCCCATAGTAATTTCCTTATATACTTTAAATGGTTTGTGCCAAGTCAGTTTCTTACCAAATGAGTTCAAATTTTGGAAGACTAATCAGGACCCAATTTGAAACCGTTTGAGCACTGCATTAGAGTGAAAATCAAGAGCAAATTTTCATTATGTCGTAAGTAACATTCGCACCGATCCGAGAAAAATAAAGTTTTGTTTTGATGACCGAAAAGTTATTCCTATTTAAAAGTAAACACATATAATCTCATAGTGATAGCAATGTTTAACATATTCAGCCGGGTTTTAATCATACAAAGGCAAATCGCTAGCTTTCATGCTAAGAAATACTGGTTTTTGAGTCAAAAGTTATTATACGTCGTTTGGTGGCCCCTATTGTTACTTAAGTCAAAGTGTATTTACCAGGATATTCGGGAGAATTATCAATTACGTCTCCTTACGTGCAGCCCATTCATCATTTTAGGACCACCGAAATCATCTTAGCAACAAACAGTTCGATTTATTCACTTTAATAATGAGAAAGCGAAACGACGAACGTACACTTTTCACGGGTTTCTCAGCGCTGTTACTTAAGTCAAACGGCATCTCCATAGAAATTGGGTGACTTAAGTAATATCGAAAACTATTTTGATCGGAAGGTGATTACGTCAAAAAGCAATTTGACTGGTAAATAAATTTAAAAATGGGATTTGATCCTTTATTTGGACAGTATATAGTGTAATAGCAGGAGAATCGATTGACACTGATAGCTCGACTTTGTTTACTTTTGTTACATTCGACGTAATGAAAATTTGCTCTTGAAATGTCAAATTGTGCATCAGTCCATGGTGGGTATATAAATGGTGATACAGCTTTGTCACTATATAGGCGAGGAGGTCGCGGGGGGGAAAAGTGCGGTTTTAGAGCAAATTGTAAACAAACTCGGTCGCTGTCCCATACAAAAATCCAACATGGCTGAATCATGAATTTGACACATTAGAACACCTATATGTAGTCACCTTGCATCAGTCTATTGAACATTGTACACAACTTCAGAGAGAAGTTTGAACTAAAGAAGACGGAAGAAACTTCCAAGTATGGAAACAAGGATGAAGCTTCCAGGAAAAAAATGAAAGAAAACAACCAGTTCATGTCGCAAGAATCTTCCAAGGAAAGTCGGAATAAATTTCGGCGAGTAAACGTTCAGAAGCTTCCGGGGAAGGTTGGAAGAGAATTCCGGGATAAGTGGGAATAGACGTTTTGGAAAAACAGGAAATTCCTGAAATAGTCTGGACAATGTTTCAGACGCTATTGGACGAAACATCCGAGAAAAATCATAAGCAACTTCCGGAGGAAAGCAGAAAAATGTTTCTGGGGAAATCGGAAGAGACTTACTGGAGTAAGTTGGAATGAACTTCCGGGAAAATTAGGAGAAAGTCAGACAAACGTAGCCAGAAAAGTAAGAAAAATCTTCGGGAGAAAGTCGGTAGAATTTTCTAGAGGAAACTGTACCACGCCGCCCGGAGAAGTTGAAATAGCTTCCGTTGCAAGTTCGATAAAAACAATTCGGAATAAGTCATAGACAAATTTCCATTGAAATACGAAAAAACTTCCGGGTGAAATCACAAAAAAACAACTTCTGAGAGATGTCGGAGGTCCTGCAAGAGCTGTAAAAAACTAACGGAGAATATCAAGAGAAACTTCCGGGGGAAATCGGAAGAAACATCCTGCACAATTGAATGAAACTTCCGGTGGCTTCTACCAACTCTTCTGTGACTTCCAAAATATCGTTGACTCATCTAAAGTGGACCCTACACGATTGCTTTTATTGACAATAATCGTATTGTCAATACATTCAATATTGACGTCAATACATCGGTATTGAAAATATTTCTGCACTCACATCATCAATATTATTGTCAATAATTCCCCTTCGTGTCAATATATTGATACGTGTGGGGTTCGCTTAACAGGGAGTAACCGCAGTCCGTCACTCAACACCCAATCCTACCGCAGCTCGCCAATGACGCTGCAGTATTGATAGTTTCCTATCTAATTGCCTAAGCACTCACCCTTCTTCTCCTGGCACTGTCCATCCTTAAAGTGTGTATCGGCTTCGTCGCATTGACACTTTTCGTCGATGCATTTGCTCAGATTCCCGAGCAACGGTTGGCACTGTTCATTTACAGTGCACTCCTCTTCGTAGGCTTCCGCTTCCTTTAGGCACGTTTTATCTTGGTACAGGTGACCCTTCTGACAGTCACACTTTTTCGGTTGCTGCTCGTCTTCCGATTCACAGATCGCTTTGTCGAATCCACAGTCGTCCACGGTTTCACACGTACCACCTTGAGCCGCTTTGCACCGCTCGTTGACGTAGAAGAAGTTCGCTCGACAGACGCAGGTGTTCACCTCACTACAGCGGGTATTGACCATGGTACAGTCCGCGTCTTTTTCACAGTATTGTTCATAACCTTTCTTCCCGATGCACATCTGTCGGTTAGTGTCGTACTCGGCGTACGGATAACAGCTACATCGCTTCGGTGAAACCAGAGGACAGAACGCCTCGCCATAGGGCGAACACTGGCTACTGGCCGTACAGGATCCATTGATTCCAATTGATCCTACAAAATTCAACCAAGGTAATTAATTTGAATGTATCGAAGATATTGGAATTATTACTACCTTTCAAACATGTTCTCATATTGTAATTGTAAAACTGATTATTTTGGCAGACGCATCTGCCGTTGGCGTAGATTCCACCTCCACAATCCTCTTTCTTTTCTACGTGTTCCCCTAGTTCAGCTTTGCACTCTCTTCCAACCGCGTAGAAGCCTTCCCGGCAAAGACACTGACCCATCCGACAAACCGAGTAGGGAACCCCGTCGCATTCCTTCGTCTCATCCGTGCAAGTATCGCCAACTTTAGTGAGAAAGAAAGCAGCTCTTAACTTTAATTTCTGAACTGAATTCAAATGCCACTTACACCCGGGAGTACTCTCATCCTTGGTCGGCGTATCGACGCTCGACTGCAGTCTAACTCTCTTCGCCGTAGCACCACTGGAATTACTCTCCTTGCGCTTCTCCTCCTGGACATCGTCTCCGGTATTGGTTCCACAGCTGCTTCCGATGCTGGTCTGCTGCTGTTGATCCCGGGTTGTTCTCGTAGCTTCCGCTTGCGCTTTCTTCTCTTCGCAAGACACCCTCGCTTGGACGCCAATATCCCGGTAGGTTTTCGTTTGTGCTTTCTTTTTGCATACATCTGCACTACACTCTAGGTTATCACCGACACAGTCCTGATTCACGAGGCACCAATCGTCAACTGCAGAAAAAGTATGCAAATCAGAATTCCAGCATCGAATCGTTTCCAAGAACTACTTACGGGACACTTCGCGCCGGCAGACATTTGTGCTTCGAAGGTAGAAACCCGGTGCACATTGGCACTTACCATCCCGGCACACCACGGCTTCACGGTTGTACCCGAAGAAACAGTCGATATCCTGCCAAAGACAAATGTGGGAGTTGCAAATTGGTGCAAATTATGACACTGAGAAACAGCCCACTTACATCATTGCACGGTTGGTCGATGTTCGCTAGCTGACGGCATCGTCCGCGAACGTAGGTGAAACCGGTATCACAGGTACATACTTTGTCCTCGCACTTGGCACCGGTAAGCATATGAGAACACTGGACCGCTTCCTCGCACGCTACCCCATACGAGCGCTCGGGCAGGCAGCGGGTGACGTCGGTCGAGAAGACATGCCCCGCCGGGCACTGGCAGAAACCGTAGGTTGAACAGCGCGCCTCCGGGACCTTACCGCAGTCTTCCGAGGTGGTGCATGGCCACAGTACCGAGCGAGATCCTGTTGGCAAAATTAAAACGGAAGATGGAAATTTTCGTTAGTGAAATGCAGTAACGGTTTCGGAAGAACAATGGGAAAACCCAGATTGTTTCGGTTCGATAACGGACGGACGATGAGAACGGGGAGGGTGGCTCATAAATCTCGGTGCAATGCAACTTTGCGCTGATGGTTGTGTTGTGTTGTTCAGAAATGTTATGGGACCTAGACACGACACCTTTCTCTCGGACAAAGGAAGTGCATGAGTAGAGCTGTATCGTGGGCATCGGTGCATAATTAGAGCCCTAGTCCTGGAGGTGGAAGAGCTATGATTACTTCCTTGCATTATTCATTCCAAGACAGTTCGATAGTGACCTAGAACTTTGGCACTTGGCACCTTTTGCACCTACACAAATTGAAATCAAAGGGGTGACCCTTGGTGATGGGTGCATTCTTGATATGAATGCAACTTTATGGTATTTAGAGAGGGTTTGTACCCGTGCATCCTTTCTAGCTTCATCAAAATGACAGCATCCCCGTTTCTTAAACTGAACACACCCGAAATATTACCGCAGTGTGGAAATAGAACGCTGTCCAACTGACAGATCTTGTCCGCCGAGGCAATTATGGACGGCACCAGTGGTATAGTGGTAAGCGTGACTGCTTTCTCACCCCAGTATGTCAATCTCAGCCGAGGTCGTAGAGAGAAGAAAAGGATGAAGAAGAAGAAGAATAAGAAGAAAAAGAAGAAAAAGAAGAGATAATGGTGAGTCTTGCACGAGATAGATGAAATTCGACCAAGCAGGAGATCTACTCATTACAGTCTCCTGGACCCACTGCACGGTTGTAGGACAAAAGGTCAACATGAGGTCTTAGGACAAAAGGTCGAATGCACAAATGATAGAAGGAGCTAAAGGTCGAATAACAAATTGTCGAAAGGACCAAGGGTCCAATTGAACATAGAGTGACAAAGGTTGAATGGACAAATGGTCGAATGTACAGAAGGTCGAATTGAACATAGCTGGACATAAAGTTGATCAAAATGTCAAATGGTCAAAATGTACAAAAGGTCGAATGGACAAAAGGTCAAATAGTCAAAAGGTCAAAGTGGACAAAATAGACAAATGGTCGAAATAGATTTGCTAGAGGCTAAAATGGGTGGCCGATGAGCATCATGAGCAGTTCTTTGGAAAAGTAAAATAACATTTAGTTACCTTGCGTGTCACAATCAAGCAATTGTAAATAAATTATGAGAAATTCACGAACGAGTCCTAATATTTATTCTGGAAAAGCCGAGGGAAAAGCGCCAATTTGTGAGCGGTGTTGAAAGGATGTAAACAAAGGCAAGAAAATTAATATTTTCCTAGCAAAATAGCTTAAAAACCACCTCCTTGTTTTATAAACGGCTAAAGGAAGGACCTTTTAAGTTGAAAAAGTTAACAGAAGACCGAGCAGAAGACACTATCCCTCTAAAACTTAAGATAAATGCACTAAGACTTTTTTTTTATTGGGTATCAAGCTGGAGCTGCGTGACAGCTTAGTTGTCAAGACTTGACCCATTTGAATAAATTTTGCTTCTATCTTTGACAATACAGCAGAAGGGCTAGCCTATGTTGGCCGCTTGGACACTGGATTCCGTATGTATTGTTTCAAGATAGTTATAGAAAAAAATGCTGTGACGTGTGCGCGTAGATACATCCGCGTAGTAAACCGATTGAATAAGTAAATCCGTTTCGAACGAAATATCTAAATTATGTAAGTTACGAAAACCGCGCGAATTCCGAGTGCCACCCAAATAAATGTGATAGCCTATGTTGGCAAGTGATTAATTTTGGTTTCCTCCCTCGATATTGTACTTATTTACTACTGAGCTTTGTATCAAATTAGTTAATTTAAAGAACGTATCAATCATTTCAAGATTTCGCGACCGCACCGAACAAATTCTATACTACATATGCTCAAAAGCGTTTGACAAGCTCTACCGAATTGCGTATCACTTCTGCGTAAGCTCCGTAGACGTAGGCGCGTTGATTCCGACAGCCGCGAAAAGTTAAACATGCATCAATACCACATAAGGAAAGATCGATTTTACGTATGGTTTAGTTCATAGATCAACATTGAATGCTGTTTAAAAATGTAAGTACTTGAACACTAAGAAATAAGTTAACTCAAATGCTTTAACCGCATATATAAGAGATTTCGCGTATTGAGAGAATAATATAGTAATCGAGTACAACAAACTCAGGGGAATACAATACCTCCAAAAGTTTAAAAAGCTATTAATTGTCACATACCTCTACTTTTACTTATTTCCTAAACTATTCTTCTCCTTGTTAATCTGCTTAATGCTGCCTGTTTACGCGATGGAATGGACCGACAACAAAAAATAAATCGAATGCAGAATTAAACTCGAATCGTCTGCGATTTAACTTAACCTTTATTTGCTTCTTCTCAGAACAAAGGTTGGTACAGTTATGATTACATTTCAGAACTAAAAAACGCGCGCAAGTTGACAGATGCACAAGGGGTTTATCCTCGCAGGTTGAAACGATACAGTTGGGAGGTATCTATACACGAACATCCTCCACCGCCTTGAGACCCACTGCCTCAATCAGTTGGTAGAATACAGATTTTCTGGATGGGACGTGAGTACTCCGCTTGACCACGCCGTAAAGTTACAGTTCGAACGACTCCTGTTGAGTCCGGGTGCAGCTTCATGATACGAGCCAACTCCCACTGAGCAGGCGGCGCGTTGTCGTTCTTCACTAGTACCAGTTGATTCTCCTTGACGTTTTCTTCGCTTACGCGCCACTTACTGCGTGGCTGTAGGCTAGTTAAATATTCATCGCGCCAACGCCTCCAAACTTCGAAAGTTTGCTTGTGCATTTGTTGCCACAAGTTCAACCGGTTAGTAGGAATGTGAGAACGGAACGTGGAGGAGGCGAATGAACCACGAATTGCACCAGCTGCTGGGAGAACCATCCATCGTCCACATTGCAAAAATTGGGCGACTACGGTGGGCTGGGCACGTCGTAAGAATGCCGCACGATGACCCAGTGAAAATGGTTCTAGAAAGCGACCCAACAGGAACAAGAAGAAGAGGCGCGCAGCGGGCAAGGTGGATCGACCAAGTAGAAGGTGACCTGCGGACCCTTCGCAGACTACGAGGCTGGCGAACTGTGGCCATGGATCGAGTAGAGTGGAGACGACTTCTTCGAACAGCAGAGGACAACAAGGCCTTAGCCTGATTGGTAAGTGGTAAGTAAGGAATGTGAGAAACATCGTGCTCCGGAATTAAATTTAATGGTTGACCGACCAGGAAATGTCCTGGTGTCAACGCATCGTAGCTGTCGGGAATGTTGGAAAGTGCGCAAAGAGGACGTGAATTAAGGTAGGCTTCGACTTGTGAAAGTATCGTCACCAGTTCTTCATAAGTGGTCGCCTTAGATCCCACAACTGCAAAGAGATGTCCCTTGACACTTTTCACCGCCGCTTCCCATATACCTCCTCGATGAGGTGCAGAAGGTGAATTAAAGATCCATTTGATACCCAAATTAGTCAAGAACTGTTCCGCTGGCTTGTTGTTGGCCTTCAAAGAATGTTGAAGCTCCTTAAGGTAACGATCTGCTCCAACAAAATTCGTCCCGTTATCGGACCATATCTGATTCGGGTAACCTCGTCGTGCGATGAACCGCTTGAGAACACTGATGAACATACCGGTTGATAAGTCGCTAGCAACTTCCAGATGCACAGCTTTGGTTGACATGCACACAAACAGTGCTAGGTATCCCTTCGTTGTCTTTACGCCACGGACACATGAAGCTTTAATCGTAAAAGGACCAGCATAATCTGTGAGTTTCACGATCAACGGGGTTTGCTCTGACCTTTCCACCTCTTGCAAAATCTCTGCACAATTGCTGGACCACTTACGTAAGTTGAAACCTGCTGACTTCAGGATTTCATCGACCTGATGTATCAATTGCATCGCTTCCTCTTTGGTCTGTGCTCCTGATAGAAAGTCATCGACATATGTGTCAAAGATGATTGATTGTGCTGCATCTGGATACACTGTGCTATAGCTTCTCGCTGCTTCCTTCATCGATTCAATGGCCAAATACGGTGCTGAACTCGTACCGTACGTCACAGTACACAAACGATAGTGCTTCACTGGTTGATCTTGGTTACCAAACCACAAGACTCGCAGATAATTTCGATCCTTAGGATGCATCCACAATTGGCGATACATTTTTTCTACGTCACCCGCAACCGCTATCTTGTGCATCCGAAAACGTAGAAAGACACGGAAGAGGCCTTGATTCACATTAGGTCCCTTCAACAATCGGTCATTGAGGGACACTCCCGATCCTGACGCACACGAGGCGCCGAAAACGACACGTAATTTCGTAGTCATACTTTCCACCTTCACCACCACAGCATGGTGAGGTAGGTAGAAGCATTTACTGACTTCTACGCTTAGTTCACTAAGAGGTACCTCCTCCATATGTCCCAGGGCCAGGTACTCTCTCATAAAATTCGAGTACTGCTAGCCAAATTCGGGATCTCACTGGAAGCGCCTTTCCATTGATTGCAATCGTTTCATTGCTGCAGTGAACGATTCACCCAGCTCCGGCTTCGAATCGTCGAACGGAAGTCGAACGATGAAGCGTCCCATCTCATCTCGTGATACGGTGGACTTGAAATAGGCAACCGCTGCATCTTCAGAAGGAGTAAGCAACTGTGGCTTCGGAACCTCCTCCTGTTCCCAAAATTGCCGCAATGTTCGATTGATGTCCAATTCCGTATGCAAGTTGATAATTGAGTAATTGCTTTGATTTCCTGACACGACTAGTCCAAAGATTGTGTTCTGTGCAACTGGAATACAAGAACTGTTTCTCACTTGACCAGCCTGGAGAATCAGAAAAAACACATCAGAGCCTAAAACGATGTCGATCGGCCCGGCCGATTGAACTCCGGATCGGCTAGGTTTCGCTGTACTTCTTCGCTCAGTAGACTAAGGTCCAATC